TGTACTCACAGTCAGCCTCCATCAGGCATGCCAGGGTGACCATCTGAAAGAGTCATTTACAAAATGTGATGACCAGAGTTGCTGTTTACCCAAGGCCATGCCGCCAAATGTCGTGTCAGCACACACCAATGAATCATTAGTGAATGAAATTAGGCTCTTTGGGCTCAATCTCCTAGACTAGAAAGACACTTGGCATAATGTAGAACTGGCTTCCTCTGCTGCTAAATGGCTTGGCTCTCCCATGGGGAGAGGAAGAGCCCTGCCTGCATCTCTTCCAACAGACAGCAATGGCTGGACCCACCAGCTATGCGGGTAGCCCCAGCCAATGCAATGTAGGTGGGATTCTACCGGATGAGATAGGAGCTTGCTCAGATAGAAACTGCCCTTGGAAGAGAACATCTGCCTTGGGAAGCTACTTCCACAACTAAATATCCCCAAACTAAATACCTTGTAACTACCTTTCTTGCACCTCAAGACTTGCACTTTGCACTTTTTTTGGCACTAGTTTTTGTGGGTCTGCCCAAAGACTGAACTATAACCAGGAGCCCTGGATATATGCTCAGTTCCTTCATGGGCCTTTACATGCTCACTCTGAAATAAACACACCTGGAAGAGATTTGATTCATGAAAGTAAAATTTAACATGACTTGTTTGCGATCATAAAATCAGTCTGAGGAAGAAGTGCCCTATATTTGAAACATAAAATTCTTTCCCACCCAGTAGGGGACACAGCAAAAATTAAAGAGGTTCAGAATTGGATCTCAGCAGTTCAAACATGCCTACAATTTTCTTGTGACTCTGGCAATTGCTTTCCAAGGAAACCTTTGCAATACAAGAGAATAAAAACTAATTTACCATTTCTGAATTGCATATAAGTAGTTGTTTTGCTGAAAAAAACAGTGTTTATTAACAGAGCTCAACTGCTATGCACTCTATCTGAGGCTAGGAAGTATGAGGTACAATACCAATGATTACCTGAATGTAGGCAGGTACTTAGCACAAGTGCTGAGTGACTGGTGGGAAACTTGATTTGCTAAGCAAATGGCTTGACACAATTAAACAACTGGGTGATTTGATAAGCAATCTATCATTTTAAATATCTCTTCTTACATTTCAGTAACTTTAATGCCTTAGATTTTGCTTTTCAACACTTCCATAAAAAATACAGTGGTTGATTTCTTTTTCTTTAAGCATTATTAATAAAGAACTTGCAATCCGCCTTGTAGGATTGCACAGAATCGGTAATTCCAACCAGGCCAGGTTGCAAGGTTGGGACATTAATCCGTAGAGAATCAGTGACATTCACTGGTGGTGCCCAAGGATAGGAGTCTATCTATCTTACCTTTTTTTGAAGACTTCAGTATACACTTATGAAACCTGTACCCCTCCCACCAAATGATGTCTCAGCAGAGCTTTTGGGGCTCTTTTTTAGCTCCTCAAACAGACACGCAGAAATACAAGTAAAAATTGTGACCTTTAAGAAAGGATGTCCTTTATTTTTTTTCAGATTTGGCTGCAGTTTTGAGTATTTTTTACCTAAAAAGGGCATCAAGAAATTGTCCCCTCCCTTCTGAGGTAAACTTTCTGTCACTAAACCAAACAATCTTGATCTGTACTAGGCAGTACACAGAGCCAGGGTTGGTTTTATATCCCAGAACACTTCTCAACTAATGACTTTCCTACCTGTTCTTCTCCCTTCCCAGGTTGCCGTTTGTCTCTTATAGCTTTGTACTCAAAATATGGTTGTAAATTGAAATTCCAAGCCATTTGCTCCAACCGTCTTTTTAACATTAACAAAAGAATAGCCAGAAGAGAAACCAAATAAAAGAAACAAACAGAGCAAGCAATGCAAAGTAAAAGGACTCTAACGAAAGCAGTAACTTACTGTAGCTACTTTCACTATCGCTGGCATTAGAAGAAACATGTTCTGCAAGAACAGTACAGCAAATTAAGAACATAACCAAGCACCACAAAGCAGCAGGAACTTAAAAGATCTGCTAAAGTCATGCAAAGGTAGTTGTGCAGACAGGAAATAAAATCTGTGCTGTGGCATCGCCTGAAAATCTTTGATGATTTACGCAGTTAAAATGAAAGCTTTTTCTCATGAGGCATTTCAGAAAGGGAATATTCACGATAGCCAGTAATATGCAGTATGGCAAGATTATTTCTAGTTCTCGATGAAACAGCTAGTGGCATCCTAGACAACTTAATTTCAGAATACAGTGTGGCCCACCTCACTGGGCTTGATTACTTGCATGAAACCTGAGTGCCTGGTCATATTATTTAGCACTGTGAATAAGGTGCACCATTAATACATTGGAACTATTTCTGCTGAAATTAAAGAGTTGTTACTTTTGCTACTGGGACTAATTGCTGTTCACTACCTTGGAAGGTTAAGAAATTAACATGCAAATGATTTTGGTGCCAAATATTGCAACTGTATCTATTTTAACCCATCCAGAAAAAGACAAAGCCAATGACAAAAAAAAATTTTGTTTTCTTTTCCAAATTTTATGGCTTTGTGATTTGAGCGAGGGTAGACAAACCTGTGCTAGACCAGTTGGGGGTGGATACATAGGATTGTAGGAATTAACATGGGTCAGAATTCTGGTTTCACAAGTCCAGTGTCTGTATGACATTTTTGTTTTAAAAAAGAGATTTATTTCATGTGAGGTTGTTGTTCCCAACAAAAAGAGATTTATTTCATGTGAGGTGGTTGTTCCCAAACTTCAGTCTGCATCTCATTTATAGTCACTCAGGCTACCATATATGGTCTTCAGCTGGTCCACAGAACCATAAGCAGTGGTATTGATAGTAATTTGATAGATATGATGATAAATTTGTAACTGAAAGACTGTTTCTGAGAACTGATACTTTTGAACTGCACTTTAGAAAGTGTAGTTCAAGTACTGTTTCTGAGAACTGATACTTTTGAAAGTGTAGTTCACTTTAGTGAAAGTGTAGTACACTTTAGAAAGTGTAGTTCAAGCACGTTTAGAAAACAATAGTAAAATGGACATATAGTGGTGAGTCACCCTTGGTTAATGCATATGTGATGCTGGTGGGTGAATGGACAAAGGGTGCAAATAAGTCACCTCAGACAAACACAAGGAGCCAAAGTTGCCATAAAAAAAAAAAAAAAAAGCCAGAAAAACAGGAGTGCCCTGGGATGAACCTTGATTAGAATCTGCATTGACGTTCTGCAGAATGAGTATGGGAATTATGCCAAAAACTGTGCCTCCTTGCAAGCACTTCAATTCCCCTCACATACAAGTCTAATAACTGGATTTTAAACAGTTGGACTGATGGGGCTTCTCCAGCAGCAGAAATGAGGGGAGAATGACATCTGATAAGAATAATAATGGGAAACTTTGGTCTGGAGATTAGTGAAAAGCTTCAAAAAGCAAAGCTTATATTTTGAGCAAAATGGTACATTTACTTTTAGATATTTAGTAGCAAGTTAATAAGGCCTGCATCAAGCCATTATGCTATAGACGAGCCTGAAGGTCTTTATGAAACAAGAATAGATATCCTCTGTAGTAGGGCAAATCATTAAAAAATACATTTCAGTTTAATATTAGTGAAAACAAGATGGGACTAGAATGTCCAGAGATGTGCCAGTAATTGAAAGCTACATGTAGAATTAATAGAGAAACTAGAGTCTGTGTAATACCTCTGTGCTGCTTTTCCCTTAGCAATTAGTATACAGAGTCAAGTTTTCTCCTTTGAAATGGTTAGGTGTTACGGAAATTTATTTTTTTAAAGGGCTTATAAAATCAGAAATGTTCTCATTAGGCAGAGAAGAATATACACGTGCTGTTAATGGGCTAAGGCACTTTTCTTAAAGCATTCAGTAACTGAATAGTTAAAATTCTAGTGGCAGTGACATTTCCTGCCTATCACCAAGAAAATTAGTCTGGTAGAACTGTTCTTTGTCCAAGAGATGTAGCTTTCATCTTTAACTGCTGAACTACTGTTTGACTTCAAATTATATCAGTAAAATCTCCCTTCAAAAAAACAATCAGGAACAGAATAATGTCTAAAATTGTGTGCATGAATGTGCATTTCTGTGATTCAAAACATGTACAAAATATTAGGTTATGCAATGGCAATATTCACATACATTTTCCTTCAATTGCATGGTGCTTAAGAAAAAGCATAAGAACTAAAGAAAGAAGCAGCCAAAGACATGCAAGAGCTATTCTGTTTATAGTATTTATCTTCTTTTCAGAGTATTTTGCTCTGAATACAGTATGTAATATAACTATTAATAAAGAAATCAGGTGCAAATATTCACTCTATGCAATCTCTCTGGTCTAACTATTGAGAAATAGAATTATTTTAGAAAAGTTGTTTGATGTGATACCAAATTTCAAGACAGGATTACTGCATTAGAGAAAGAAATGAGTTAAGGTGACATGACAGCAAAGAAGTTGCTAATGGTCAAATGGGTCCAAAATTAGCTTTGGAGAAGCCATGTCTTCTCCTGCCTGCAAAAGGTTTCTTCCATCACTAGCAAATACTAATCTAAAATCCAGCAAAGTAACAAACACTCCCATGCAAAAAGCTGAAAATGCAGAAGCAAAAGCGTAAAATAATTTTCTGTTGATCTCCTCAGGACATGATCAAGCTACAATGCTTTACAATGCTTAACCTTCCCTCCAGATGGAGAGGGGTTGCTGTTGAACGTACCATCGAGGCAGCAAAGCAAGTTCTAGGTACGCTACCCTACAGAACTGCCATAATGGGAACAATAACATATTGTCAGAAATGAAAGGTGTTATTACAAAAGAAGTATCTGCTTGATACATTGTATGTTATTTAATATTTTCATGCAGAACAAAACAATTGAAACATTTTTTTTAATGCATTCACAGCTGGGTAACAAATAAAACTCTTATCTCGTGCATGCTAGGAGTGGAGGGTCCTCAGAGAAGGAACGAAAGCCAAAACAAAACAAAACAAAAAAGAATTTACAGTGACCATTCCTGGGAACTTACTCAGAGTCTTTGTTCCATAACCGTCGTCACCTAATCCGGGGATGTCCTGCACGGAAGTCCCCAGAGAGAGCAATGAGAAAGGAAGAACAGCCGCAGAAGAGGAAGGAAGAAGTCAGTGGAGTCGAAATGGATACTACCATGACTGACCATGTTGATTGAGCAATTTGGATCCCTGCTTTTTCTCTCTGAAACAAATTTCAACCTCAGTCTATGGGAATGAAGCCAATGAAAGAGCCAGTGACCATGGTAGGCAGGTTTTGTAGCTGTAACAAGGATGGAGCAACCCAAAAAGCATAGTCCGGAAACAACCGTCATTGGAGAAATTTGTAAGACAATTATTAAGAGAAAAAAAGTTAAAATTTTCTGGGCTTGGAATGATCATAGATTCTTAAAGTGCTGGTTTTGAAGCAAGCAGTAATACTCCAGGGGTGCAGGGCTGATGCCCATTCCAAGATCTGATTTTCTTCTTTAAACTGATAGTTTATTGTTAAACTTTCAGTGAAAGTGTCCAAGACAATCAACTTGGAGACTATCAGAGGCAAAAAAAAGAGATTAGATGTTTGCAAATGTAATAATTTACTGTTGCATTGTAAATGATATCAGGTTTACTTTATTTTGAGTCAGTTCTGATCTGGGAATATTTAATCAGAGACAAGTTTGATTTATGACAAGCACCAGAGCAATTTTAGAAAGCTACATTTTGTTCATGAAAGGGAAGAAACCATCTCCCAAAATCAAAGGTCACCGTTTTATTCTTTTGGGGGAGGAAAAACAGATTTTTCAGGGAATGAAGGCCCAGCTGGATCCAAATTGCAGTCACACATTGGTCACAGTAGTACTACCTTGCCTGCCTGCCTATGAGATATATTTGCCTAGATGTGTGGGATACTGGCATCATGCGTGTCACCCATTGCTTTTGTGCTGCATGTGACATCGTCTCCAAGAGGTTACTTACGTTCTGGATCACTTGTTTCCTGCTCACTCTGCTCCTTGCTCTTGTAGAATGGGAATTTTCGTGAAAAGATGAAGTTCTTTTTACGCTTGTCATTGAATGA